ATATATATATCTTACTAATAATATATATATATATATATATATATATATATATAAATAGTCTGAATATTGCTTTCATACCTCTTTGCATTCCCTCCATGAATCCTATTTTTAGTAGAAGGAACACAGTTAAAATAACTAATCTTGTCAAGGCTTCACAATCAACTAGACAATGTGGATTGTTTTTACTTGCTGGTTCCAAGGAGCTAAAAGCTTTGTGCACAGACAAGTCAAATCGAATTATTTCTATTTATAGTACTCAAGGGTCAGTAGGAAGGATGAAGAGGTAGGAGAAGTGTAGCTTGGCAGAGAAATCCAAACGTGAAATATATCAGGGAAATTAATACTATATAAATGATGTGACACTTAGTAGCTTTTTATATATACATATAAACACATACACAACAGCAGTGTATTTTCAGTGTTAAAAGTGATAAAGTCATAAGTTGTGAAAAAATAGTTGCATTTTTGAGTATGTTTAATAACTGTTACATACTTTTAGGCACATAATTACATTGATGACCTTAGCATGTTTCTTCTAGTGCTCCATAACAAATATGACAGTACTAAATCCAGTACCTACCAGAAAAATGGAACAGAATTTTCCATTCAGTATGGCTCTGGTAGTCTCTCTGGTTTTCTAAGCACAGATGTGGTCACAGTGGACACTGTTGCAGTAAGTACATTGAGATTTTGAATAACGGCAAACGAAATACTGTTTCTTATTAATATGGTAATTCAACCTAACTATAATTTATATAGTATATGTATAAGAAGGAAACTTATTCCTATACATCTTAACACTGGCATAATCTTCTGGAGGAATGTTTAATACCTTAAGTTTTAGAAAACAAATGCAGGATCCACATCCATTAATTTTTTTTAATTTTTCTTAAGTTCAATCTGAATTTAGTCTCATAAAACTAGGTAATTCTTTTTCTTGCTTTGGTATTAAATACATGATGAGCATAAATATATTTTTTCAAAAAATGCAGAAAAAGAGATAGCTTTAGATAACTCTTACTTTGTAAAGATGTAAGCTCTAGAGGGTACACCATAGATAGCCTGTTGTACAGCATTGTGCTTAACAACAAACTTTTAACATGTTAAATGTTGCTATTGCCATACAGAACTTTCATCATTAGTAAAATAGCATTGCTAAAATGATGCATACTGTAGATATTTTTACTCAAATTTATTTTCTGTATTTTTAGAAAAATCTTTTTATTTATATATAAGATCCAGTTAATATTGAAACAGGTTTATCACTGTGTCTATTCAAAAAAAACATTAACAATAGTTTACTTACAAGTTATGACCTGGAAGTTTTAGAAATATTTTAAAGATATAATGTATGAACATTAGAACAAATTCAAACTTAAATATTTTTTTTATTTAAGGTCACTCTCCAATCTTAAATAGTGCCTAAATGTGTGTGTGAATCCAAGATAATTAATTGTAAATGCCATTCTAGTGAGAAAAAAGTCCTTTGTTTAAATGTATTTGGTAACATACTATTATTTTGAAAAAAAAACACAAATTAGGGATGAATTATGTCCGAGTTTTTCTTTTATTTTGAAAGGTTCTAAATATCAGCTTGTTCTATGTTATGTTGAAACTATACTTGTGTGTAAATGCAAATTAACAAAAATGATTTTTAATTAAATGTAAAACTTTACGTTACTGAAACACTTAGAACTGTTACAGAAATTAAAATTTATTTTTAGTTTTTGTAAAATATTATTTCTATTTTATTATTATGCATGTAAAACGTAACTGTTGACTGTTTTTTTTTCTATTTGTCCAGTGCACCTAGAATATGAATTATTTTAATTGTTCTCATATTTGTTAAGTGATTAATAAAAAAAAAAAAGGATAATAATTTGCTGATTTACTGTCTGTTTTGTACAGTGTATCTAAAATTCAAATCTGGCATGGCTTAACGGTTAGGGAACTTGTCTGCTGATCACTAGTTTAAATCCCATCACTGAACATGCTCGACTTTTTAGCCATGGGGAAGCTATAGTTTATTGGTAAATCCCACTTTTCGACTAGCCTAAGAGTTGATCACCTCTAAATTAGGGACACCTAGCATAAATATTCCTTGAGTTACTTTGCATGAAATTTAACAAATAAACAATCTAAAGTTCAAATAACTTGTTAGTTTCCTCGTGTATTTTTAGTTATGAGAAAATGGTTTCATTTAGCTGAATTCGATACATATAATCTAATACTTGAAATATGCTGGTGTAGCATACTGACCTCATTAATGTATATAATTGGAATATTTGTATTTTATCAGTTATTAGATGACATTAGTTGTATAAAAATTTATTTTTATGAAATATATTTTTGAACTTGTAATTAAAATTGACACTGATAATATTTGTGGAAATGTCTAACTTTGTTTTCAATACTTAAAAAAATCTTAATCCTAGGTTAAAGCACAAACTTTTGCTGAAGCTGTCTCAGAACCAGGTCTAACTTTTGTTGCTGCCAAGTTTGATGGAATCTTGGGCCTTGGCTTTCCCCACTATTGCAGTTGATGGGGTGACTCCAGTATTTGACAGCATGGTCAAACAAAAACTTTTAGAGAGAGATGTTTTCTCTTTCTATCTAAACAGGTGAGTCAAAACAAAACAAAAGTAAAAAAAAAATTGCATATGGTGGTGGTGATAGTAGTTGAAATGTTCTTTTAACTGTGTTTATGGTGCTTGTTTACTTAGAAACCCTGATGCCAGTCCAGGTGGGGAGATAATCTTTGGAGGTTCAGACCCCAAGTACTACAAAGGCAACTTTACTTACGTTAATGTGAGCAAGAGAGGTTACTGGCAGTTTAACATGAATTCGTAAGTTTGATTTCTGTAATTTTAATACACTTTTTTTTTAGAAATACAATGTTTTCGGTTCTAGCTGAATGTAAATTATTTTTTATTAAAACTTAAACATTTCAGAAAGGAATAGTAACTATTTCCACTATTGTGAATTGTTGCTTTTCATTATTGTATTATTGAACTGTCGTTTTAAGTTTGTCACTAGTTGCATATATGTAGAAAGACTGAGTGAACAGTAAAAGACTGTGTTAACAAAGCTTCCACTCAGTGTGTAAAAGTCTTCATTTATACATGATTACCATATATACTAAGGTTTGACATTCTCTTTTTCATTTCCTTAGTTGTTGGTGCTGCCATTATTTAAACTCTTAATTGAGTGAACTGTTGTAAATTAGTCATTTATGTGGTTTCAAATACATTTACACCTTTAGGAAATGATTTTTTCATACTAGTACAGAAGACCTTATTTTCCTCTTCCAATCATGCTCTATCTGCTTCTTAACAATAGCCATCAGAAACGTTTCAAGAGACTAAACTTCAGAGAACAGCAATATCAAAAATTTTTTTTGTCACTCCTATTATGCAGTTCTCACTAAACCTTTTGTACATTGAGAACTTCCAACAGGATGCTTCAGCAGACTAATGGCAGTGAAATCAATTGTTGCTATATCATTGAACTTCTTTGTATAGGGTTTCTATGATTTCAGTCTCTTAACCCCCTTTTTCTTATGTTAAGTGTCATTGATTTCAAAATGTAGTTGACAGCTTGTAAGCTTTTAATTTCAAATCTTTGTTTATTACATTGTTATCAGCAGTAAGATATGTTCATATTTGTTGCAGTGATTTTCTTTATTAGAGGGATTTTACTCTTTACAATAGCTTTTACTCTGCAGATGAATGTTGGTTGTAACTAGTTTGGGGTATAATTTCAGAGTCTATTGACATGCTAAGTGTTCTGTTGTGTGGGTTTTCTTTTCACTTCTGTGGAAAGTGATTGAAGAATCACTTTTAAAATGTTATGGTCTATGGTTCTATGTTATTTAAGTTTAATAACAGTCTCACTGTATGAATATTTCTTTTTAAAAGAAGTGGTAACATTCCCTTTCAAACATTGATCAAGTTTTGGAGGCATTTTACGAACCCAATAAGACCCGTTTGCTTTTATATGATTGAGAGATACATTTATATCACGTACCATTGTTTTAAAACTATCTCACTGTGTGGGGAAGTCAAAACTAATTCATGTACATTGCCACGATGTACAAATGATAATCTTGTACACCTTTATCTACTTTAAGTAATAAAGCTTGTTTTTATAGCAACCAAGTCAAGGTAAAGAAGAAATAATTATTTTGAGAACTAAATTTTTGTTTAGCTATAATTGATTTGTAAGCTTTGCAATTTTTATTCTTAAATTTTCATAATGAGATCCAAATAATTGATTTGAAAATTAGTTTTGAAATTGATAATCATCTAAGTATTAGAAGTTGAGATTAAAATATAACTTTAGTAATGTAATTTTCTATTTGGACAGAGTTGCAGTTAATGGCAAGAAAGGAGTATATTGTAATGGTGGTTGTCAAGCTATTGCTGACACTGGAACTTCCTTAATTGCTGGGCCTACAGATGAAATACAAAAACTTAACAAGGAAATTGGAGCTACACCTTTAGCTATGGGAGAGGTAAATTATTTGTTATGCTTCTGTGACGTAGCTCATTTGTGACATTAACTTCACTTATCTGGTACAGAATATTTTTTTATAGTAGGAGGCATATAATTTTCTTATTAATTCAAACTACATCAATATATATATGCATGTGTTGTAAATAATACTATAATAAAAGCAGTCTAGTCCAGAATATGAAATTAATTTTATGTCAAAATTTGACAAATGTTTTGTTTTTCATTACAAATAGGTGTAATAATTAATTTAAATTTGCTTTAAGTAGGATTAAAGGTTTTAACAGTAATATTTAGCATGCTTTTATAACTTTTACTGATGTACTGTAAATGAAAATAACTCGTCAGTTGTATAAAGTTACACCTTACTTAAACCTGATATTCATTTCTCAATTCTTGATGCTCCCCCTAATAGCATGATTTAGAAAGAGCTGGAGTATAGTAATTCCTAATAGTGGCTCAGAGCATATTGACTCTCATACAAGTAATATATATATATCTTTGTGAAATTAAAGGGCTTGCAAAACCTTTAAAAAGTATTCTTCTAAATGATAATGTGAGTTAATGTAATTTATTGGCAGGTGTATGGAAAGCTTGTTATTCATTTCTTAAACTATCTTTGTTTTAGTTTGCTTTCATTTATCTTTTTTTTATTTTAATATCTTTGTATATGAATCAAAATTATCTTTCTTGTAAATAGAGAACACTGTGGAAAAAAGTCATTTATGGAATAAGAGATGTGCTTAGAAGTTGAGTAATTGCTTTTTCAGCATTTGTTTGGTTCTCAAGCCAGAAAATATTACTTAAAAATCAAAGATAAAACTAAATATGAAAACACATTAAAGTATGTAAAGAACTTTTTTTCTTTACATAAACTGTTTCAGGTTTCAGATAAATCTTGTAAAATCTCAAAGTTTGAACATTTTCAAGGTTAGGTAGATTTCACCTGAAGCAAGTAGAACTAAAGTCAAGTCAAGTTCAGTGAATATTAATGAGCTACTTTATAGTTTTAAAGTTACAGTCTCTGGGAGGACAATAGTAGCTGTTCTACTTAATATATCACTTTGAACTAGGATTTGAACAATAAAATCCCACTACAGTGGTAAATCTTTAGTTTTGCTTATAAAGAAGTTACTGGCTGTAGCTGAATGGAATCAATTCATCTTTTTTAGTGTAAACCCACCACCACTACTCTTTAAGTGTTTTATAGAAAGAAAACTAGTTGTTATATCAGAAAGGTTCCTTTTTACCAACACTAATGTAAGTTATAACAAAATTCTCCTTAACCTTAACTGTTTTTTTATACGTTTCTTCAAGTACATGGTGGACTGTAAACTCATCCCTCAACTACCAACAGTTACCTTCACTATTGGTGGTAAAGACTTTGCTCTTAATGGTTCTGATTATGTCCTGAAGGTAAGAAGCATTATCACTACAGATAATTGTGTATTTGTGCATTTTTTTCTTTGGAAAACAAAATGGAAAAGTTATTATATATAATTGTATGTAGGATTTAATTACTATTCACAAATTATAAATGATTAAGTAAAGTTTTAAATCAAAAGGATCATTTAATAAACACTTGATTTAAGACCAGTAAACTTACCAAGGTTCAAATTAAATTTTTCATGATACTGAAGATAAAGTTGTGTATCAGCTGTCACAAATAAAAGTAATAACAGTACAAATGAGCCTGTTTTGAAATTACTTAGTACATTTAGCTATATTTCAAGTTGAAATAGTGAAATTCATGCTTGAGTGTATTTGAATAACAGTGGATGTTCAGTTTCTAAAACAGAACTTGTTTGAATTCAGTTTGAATTTGCAAACCAATTTAAAAACAAAGACTATCAAAAAGTTATTCAACTATTGAGTATACTGTATGATGTAGGTTTTAGGAGGTAAATTGTGTTTTCTTAGTGATAAATTTTCAACTTTAATTAAAAAGATAAAAAATGATATTTCTCCATTGGTTTTGGAGTTACTTGTTACTATTTTTTGTCATTATAAGTAACTTTGACAGTGTTATGCAAGAAAAGGATCTTGGTGTAATGGTTTATCAGTACACTTAAGCCATCCAAACACTGCTGTTACTAATGGCAAGGCAAATAGGATTTTAGGTTGTATCTACAGAATTATTGAATACAAGTCAAAAGAGGTTATAATGTTATTCTGTAGGTGACTGGTTAAGCCACATTTAGAGTATTGTGTTTAGTCTTTAGGAAGGTCATTAGGTTGTTGGAAAAGGTTTAGAGGAGAGCTAGTAGGATGATACGTGGGATGGAAAAGTTGCCATATGAGGGCAGGTTATGATCTCTGAACTTTTCTTTTGAAAAAAAAATTAGAGGGGATCTGATTGAGGTGTACAAGATTGTTAAGAAAGTTGATAGTGTTGAGGCATTATCTTTTTTCTTGCCTAATGGTGAGAATGGTAGGACTAGGGGACACAAGTATAAATTTTGGCAAGGTAGAAGTCATCTTCAGATAAGACAGTTTTATTTTTTATAACAGGGTGGTTGGCTTTTGAAATAGATTGTTTTCAGATGTGATGGAAGCAGTAAATTTAAGAAAGATTAAGGGAAGGCTTGATAAATATTTGATACGGGCCAGCTTTGAACACACAGAGGGGAACAGTTGCTAATTTTCCTTACTTACCATTCTTCGTTTCCAAAAGTTTGCCCATACTTGTAGTTTATTAAAACCTTCTGTAGTAATTTTACTCTTCTGATATTTAAGAACCATTTCAATATGTTTACATGAAAGCCAGAATACAAACTTCATTTAGCCTTGTCTAAAATGTACGAGTTCTTATGTGCAATGTTACTATTACTAAGATAAATTTAGTACTACTGTTTTGACTGCAGAACACTGTGTGTCTACATATTCATGCATGCATGTGCATAATATATAACCACACACACACACTTCAGTGCTCCAACTTCTATTAGGTTATTTAAATCATAGTATTTTACTTTGTATTCAAACATTACTTGCATTTCATCTTGTTTTATGCTCTAGTGTTACCTTAATCTGATGGGTTTTACTGGGGGGGTGTACTTTAGCCTATGCCATACAGGAGAGGATTTATCCACAACCTTGGCACATGTAAGGTTTCAGCTATCTTGAGCCAAGTGTTTCATGTGTTACAAGGTGACTGATGTAAAATGAGTGATAAGTTTGGCTCAAAGTTCACTTGTTAAGCACAAGAAGATAAAGGAAAATGTCTTGGTCAATAAGACAATAAGAAAGCCATGCTCAAAATACATTATAACAATATAGACAATAATGATACCACATACAACAAAAAAACACTTTTCTCTTAGAACATTTAAATTTCACATTTTGACCACTGGTTCACAGTTAGATTATAAATGAAATACAAAAACTGTGACAAAAATATTGTTAAAATTACCATAATTAAAAAGTTATACAAAACTGAATTGATTAGTTAAAATTTAAATTTCTAACACACTTGTGTCTCCAACAGTAACTAAATGCACATATTTTATTCCATGAAGTAAAGACACACATGGACAATAATCATTAGTAATACAAATTAAGTGGCAATAACTGATTAATTCTCAGTTTATAAAACAAAGATTCAGTTTTTATCATTCTAAAAATATATATTTCAAACTGTACTTTGTAACATATGTCATTTCAAGGTTGTTTCACCCAGTACTGTACTCCAATAACATAATCTTTTTGAAGCACATTTGGAATGATTAAGAAATTTCATGTCTAATGTTGTTATAATTGAAATTACTACTGAGACAAGATAAGTAACACTTGGGTATCTGCAAAGATAATAAAACGGTTTAAAAAATTTTGTTAACAGAGGAACTACTCCAAATGGAATTGTTGGTCATGTATAGGATAAATTATGTTTTACTCTACTATTTTGTTAACAGAGGAACTACTCCAAATGGAATTGTTGGTCATGTATAGGATAAATTATGTTTTACTCTACTATTTTGGGACACTGCATTTATGTTCTAAAAAGTTGACTTATTTCACTTTATGAGTAAGATATTTGATGTCTGTTATTGACTTGTTTATGTATGTGTAGACATTGATATTGGTAGTACATTATTTTCTAAACTATGACTCTTGTCTATGTGCACAGGTCAGCCAGTTAGGACAAACAGTCTGTTTAAGTGGTTTCTTAGGTCTTGACGTGCCTAAACCAATGGGACCTCTGTGGATTCTTGGTGATGTTTTTATTGGTCGCTACTACACAGAATTTGACTATGGAAATGCTCGTGTTGGCTTTGCTGAGGCCGTATAAATGAAGCCTAGGAGGGTAAAGACTGTTGTAGCTTCATAACAAGCTAACCTTCCTGTGAGGAAAGACTGTCTTTCATTTAAAACACATTTCCCATGTCAGTGTTAATAGTAATGCCCTTGTTTTTTTTGAATAATTTTATGATTATCTTTTATTGCCACTTAGAGCAACTAGTTTGATATAATTTCACAAAAACCTACTTGTAGATGCAGTATTATGTACCTCACTAAAAAGATGGTTAATCTACAATAAAGTATGTTATCTGCTACTTCGTATTTGTTGTATTGTAGTGCTAATAGACTTCAATGGTTGAAACATTTTCATGACATCAGAAGTATTAAAATTTTTTAAATAGACTGTGCAAAACTGAAATGTGTACACTAATTCAGCCAGTTGTGTTACAATTTCAATTGTTCATCACCCCTATAGTGGTTGTAATGTCTGGCTTCCATTTTGTAATGCTGTTACCAACATTTTTGTTTCAGGTTTTATATATACATATGTGTGTGTGTGTGCCTGCTTTATTTTTAGTGCAGGTGTATTTAAGCCACCTGGTGGTAAATCCAGTATACACATAATTGCATCTAAGACATTTAAATTCTTATAAAGCATTATAGAGAGAGAGAGAGAGAGAGATATTCTATATCAAAACTTGTACTATACATTTTTTAACAAACATTAAGTCTTGTATTTCATTAGAGAAGAAAAAAACTATTTTATAATGTATTCATTGTGTATAGACACATACACCTATATTTCAAACAATAGGTTTAACATGGTAACCCTCTTTGTTGACTTTTGAATACCACAAAAATATCTGGATGACAACCTGGTGGTCTTATTCTGAAACATTCACTCTGCATCAATTTCTGCAGTTTAGTTTCTATTTGTTATATGAGCTGCTTCTAATTTCTTAAATTTAATGTTAAGATTAAACACGTTATTTCTCTTATCTGGTTTCATTATAACAATATTTTCATCATTACGTACATTTTCAAATTTTTCTGTACTCGTATTAAAATTTTTAAAATCAATTATACACCAACTTGGGTTCCAATACTTTGAAAGGATTCATAGTTGTCAGGTCAAATTTTCAGTTTAGATACTTACTGTAATAATTGTTGAAATAGCAAAGGAAAATCTTCAATAGAAGTATAGCAAACTTCAAACTATATCACAAAACTAAAATTATTTCGTACAATGACAATGTTAGCATCTAAATACATATTTTTAATCATTTAAGGTTTAATAAGGTAGCCAAGATTTATTCTCACACCACTGGTACCAATTATAAATAAGTTACTCAAGAGTAATAGTAGGGGTAACAACATTGTAATTATATATGTAATAATCAGATGTTTGTGTGTCTGTATCTCCTGAAGGGTTAACCGTAGAAAAAAATATATACATATCAAAATGCTTATTTTCAAGAGCACATTAGAGAAAAATTATTTTTTTGCAATTCGTAAAATTTTATATCGATCCGTCAGTCTTTGACTCTTTGTATGTGCTGCACAGTTAATCTGAGAAAAAACTTGGTAAAAACAATGTTTTGTTTTTTGTGTGTGTACGAGCGGAATTTCAGGAAAAAAATGGAACTTCCACCGTTTACTGATCAAAATATTTCTTTCAAACATAGGAGCATGAACGCATAAGAGAGAGGAGCGTGTTTGAGTGTATATTTGTTGTATACATTTGTAGAGACCCGGAAATTTCCGGTCACCTTAGTATCTTTATTTGTAATAGTACTTCTTTAAATACAGGATTTCTAGAATAATACAAAATATTTATAATCGTAGACACAATCTGCAAATCCATTTCTTTTAGGTCTAACATTAGTTAAGCCTTTATTAATTATGGCCTATATTTGATAGAGATAAATTAACACTGTAACTTGTGTACGTTTTTTGCTTTAGTTTAGTTAGGGCTAAACTTTTTCGTACTTAATACTATCAGTAAATAAACTTGTGCTATTGTACGACCTAACGTTAGACCCTTTTTAAAAGTTTAAGCCTTTAATATGTTGTATAAAATGTCTACTAAAATGTATTTACATTCGCCTTTTGCTTGGATCCGTTGAAATTAAGTGCGCACACATGAGCACTTGGATAGTAAGGTGCGCGCACATATAGAAGGCAGACAAAACGTAGTATTATTATAATAAATGCATTTTTCATATCGATGTTACATACATGCATGACTTTATTGTACCATGTCGAATAAATTGGTTTAAATTTAAATGAATATCTACCCTTCAAACTTCTTATAGAAAAGACAACTGTCAAAAATCACTTATTTCAGTAGTGGTCTTTTCTTGCGTTCAGTAAAATGACAAGGAATGGTGACATCCAGCGTAAATAAATACCCGCGGTTACTTAGCGAACGTGACCCCTCTATTGTGCTGTATGCACCCATTGCATCAAAACTCAAACATTTTTGCCAAAAATACATTGCAGTCAGTCTTCTTTGCTTAAAAACAAGCACAATTCAGTTTTTATTATTGAAAGAACGTAAAGAATTGACAAAATATGGCTGTAAACGACTCGTTAGAGTGACTAGACACTCGTATTGCAAATACGTCATGATCCGAGGCACTGGGTTGACTGCACATTTTTTAAAATTTATTCATCACCATTTTAGGAGAATTGCCGATGAATTGTTTCAACGGGCATCTGATAATGCTTGATTAATTAATGCAAATACCAACATCGGAGAAGAGTATTGAATGTCATATTGATTAATTGGTTTACAGTAGATTTATGTTTAAAACAAACATTGAAATAACCATTAGCTTTTTATCTGTAAGTTAATGTGATATTAAGTTCTAATTGGTGTACATTTTATAAGAACATTTTTTTTAAATATACTGCTATGAATAATTTGATCAGTTACCTCATCAGTGATAATTCTAGATGTAGATCACTTTTGACGATGGGACAAGAATCAGTTCCCAGAACACACGGTATTCTTTTAAGATAATTGATATCAACTGCAGAAGAAAGCCATACAACGAAAAATAATAAAGCTTACAAATACCTGAAATTGAAGGCCGTTTGATTTGACACAATAGGTAACAGGAATTGCGTGTAATAAGTGCGGTAAAGTATGGGGTGGGGGGGGGATTTCCAAACTTGTGTCAATTTTACCGTATCTGTAGGGTATTAAACTCAGTTGTTGTTTTTCCCCTCGCATCAATATACAGTAATGTGTTGTCAGTCAGTCAGTAGACACTAAAATGACGTCACATAAGGGACGCTAAACGTTGCAACTTGTATTGTCATGACGTCAGTAAAACGTGCGCATGCTATGAATCGCGAGAAGAATTATGCATTCTGTAAGATACAACACAGCATGACATATGAACTTCGAAGGCAAGAAATAAAAACACTTGTTACTCTTAATTTTGGTTTCATTTACTCTTGAAACAGAACACTTTCGGAGACCCTGCGGAAGTGCATCTAGTACGTATACGTAATTTACTTCTAAAAGATTCCATCAACACAAACACGTATGGATTAATCGGTTATTCCAAACTTTTAATTGTGCATACGTGTGTTACTTTGAGGTAAAGTAATTATATGAAACAGAATGCGTCAAAAATCTGAAGTTTTAAGTATGTTTATGAGAAGAAAAAAGTATGTGTCTGTAGATATAAATTATATTGAAACAAATAAAGTGAGTAACAGATTTTACAGTAGGCTATCTTGTCTTACGTGGCTGGTATATCAAATCATCTAAACTTTGTAATAAATGCTAATAATTTCATCAATATTCTAAAAGAGAGCGGATATCAGGTAACCTAAAAAAATGAGGTATATATATATATATATATAT